AGAAAATGATTCATGACTAACTGATATATGTATGATGTATTAGTTTTATGTGTATATGTGTGTATATTTGTGTATGTGTAATTATATTAAATACATATATAATTTCTGAAAGTTGAAAGGTATTTTTACCCACTAGAGATAGAAATTTCAATCTATCAAATCATAATTTTACACCATGGAGTAATGGTTAAGAGCATGGGTACAGGAGTTGGATTGCCTTGGCTAAAACTATTTCTATTGAAGTATAGTCAGTTTACAATGTTGTGGAAACTATTGATTAACTGTGTGACCTTGGGCAAGGTACAGAACCTTTTTGTACAGCAATAACCTCATCCCTAAGATGGGAGAAATAACTGCACTTGCCCCACGGAGTGGCTGGGGATTCAGTGAATCAGAACATGGTACGGTAAAAACAATAAAATAAAAGTGAACTTCCATTATAATCGCTAGTATGTGCAAGGCCCATGCCAGGTGCTTTGACGGATAAGAAAGAGACACAGTCTTTACCCCTACACAGTTTACTATCTAGTTGGGAAGCCAAGATACAGTCTCAGATGAAGGTAAAGATTAATACCTGAGAAGAAGAAAAACCAACAGTTCAGTTCAGTAGCACAGGCTGGCCTCTTAAATACAGAAGCTATAGTGGCAGGGTGCCTGGGGCAGAGAAGTATCTTAAATAAGGCGTTAGCCTCACATCTGTCTCCCTTTACTCGAGGCTAATCTCTTCGATGTGATGAAAACACGCTCAAGCAGACTGCTAAACACCATTGGCAGTGGCCAGCCTACCTTAATCCTGCAGTGGTTCAGTCACGACGGAGCGCAACATGACGCACATGCTGATGCCAGATCAAGGCTCTCCACAACACTCTGAGTGCCCCGAGAAGTGGGCCAACCCATCCATTTCTGCAGGGTATAGTGGGACGGTGACTGCTTCAGCTGACTTTTTTATTCCCCCTGAGATTTACAGAGAAATCCAGACTGTGGTTATCTAGCTTGAGAGGTACATCTGTACAAGGACTGGTGCAAAACTGCATGTCTAGCTGCCAAGTGAATATTACAGTTAACAATGTCTCTCTGAGATTGTGGTCTGGGGTGATCACGGAAGGCCTTGGGGAGAAGTGATAATGAAAGGCCCTTCAACAAGAATGCAAGGCTTACTCCCTTTTAAGTCAAATGTTAATTCTCCCAAGTTAATTTTTAAATGCATCAGTCTATTTCACCTACAGACTGTCCCTGAATGATGCTCATATCAAAAGATACTTTTTGGCTAAATTATGAGTTTAACAGGTTTCCATGTATTGATTTGAGTATATAACCTTCATCTATAAAATTACTTCTGTGGGGAAAATAGGGGTATCCTGATTTCAGACAAACAATTTACAAACTTATTTTAAGAAATCTGCTTTGATTGGTTCTTTCACTCAAAAATTATTTATCCAGTGCTTTTCATGTATCAGACACTGGTATAGGCACATGTGAACAAAACAAAGATCCCTGCCCTCATGGTGCTGACATTCTAGAAAGGAGAGACAGTTAAATAAACCTAATAAATAATTGGTATAGTATGTTGGAAGGTGATAAGTGCTAAAGAATTAAAAAAAAAGTAGTGAGGGTTAGAAAGGTTAGGGATGTGTGGCAATTTTAAACAGGATGGTCATTGAGAAGGTTACAATTAAGCGAAGTGTGAAGGAAGCCAGCCAAAATGGCCAACCATATCTAGGGAAAGAGTATTTAAAGTAGCAGGAAGAGCCAGTGCAAAGGCCCTGGGGCAGGAGCCTACCTAGTGAGTTGGAAGAACAATAGGAGGCCAGTGGAGTTGGAAGGGGGTGAGAGAGAAAAGAGGATGTGGGCAGGGAGATAAGTTGGGTAGTGGCAGGAAGGGAACTTGACAGATCATGTGGAACCTTGTAGGACATTGTAGTCGTTGAGAAAGTTAGCAGTCATTTGTACCAGGCTGGTTTAAAGTAAGATCTGCCTGAATCAGAACAATTCCTCTTTCCCCTTGTCTCCTATATGTCAATTTTAATGTGAATACAAATCAACTGAAATCTTGTTAGAATTCAAATTCTGATTTAGCAGGTCTGGGGTGGGGCCTGAAGTTCTGCATTTTTAACAAGCTTCCAGGTGATGCCAGTCCGCAACCACACACCGAGTAATGAGAACAAAGAGGTATTGAGCACCCAGCGTTTGGGGGCTTACTTCTCCATTAGCTGGTTGCAAGGGCCTTCTTGTTCCCTTTCAGCCTAAAAGGACAACCTGGAAACTTTCATATTGGTCATAATTTCATCACTGGCCTCACTATTTCCTGGTCCTATCCCCTGGCTAGTAAGAGCATGGTTCAGGGCTCTCTTGGGAACACAGGATAGGTTGTCTGGCTGTTTCCATGCAAGGTCTAAGAAGTTTGTAGGGCCTCCTCACTGCCCTCACTGTGGAGGCTCTGCTTCTGAACCTTCACCTGAAAAGACCCACTCCACTCCTTGAGTGATAGTTACATAATTCTTTGACCACATCCCTGACCTATAGGAGTTCTGATTTGTAGCTTTCACTCCCGGCCCTGTACCTTGAGTGATAGCTCAGCTCTGTAAACTATGCCTGAGGCAGCGAGAGGACTCGGGTGCTGGTCCTGGGAGGAAGAGGTGCCCTGCTGATGCTGGTGTAACAGGCGAGGCTGGCGTCTTAAGAGCTAGCTCAGTAACTTACAGCTGAGGCAGGCTAGCCACTGGTGAATATAAAACAAAGGTTATGATAGACTTCGATTAGGATTGTGCTTCCACTCCTTATTGTGTTATCTTAGGAATGTTCCTTGGCATCTCTGAGCCACAGTTTTCTCTGGAAAATGAGAATGCTAACACCTCCTTCATATACTGAGATAATGCATATAAAGCACTTGGTAAGTGACTGGAACATAATGATATTCACAAAATACTAGCTGCTATTACTTTTTATAATTACTATTAACATCCCACCACGTATAAAATCTCTTTGTGGCCTGGCTTTATAGTGCCCACCTTTACAGTCCCTGGAGTTAAGGCACCAGAGCACATCTCTCAGCAAAGGCTTTCAAAGATGAGACATACAGACCAGTAGCAGTTTCATCGTAACAGATGTCACAGAAGATAATTTTGGGCACTGAAGATAAATTTAATTTAGAAAGCAAATGATGGGGGACTGACGTGATGGCTGTCTTAAGGGTGTCTCGTGAAAGAGGATCCGGAGGGCACAACTGAGACCAAGAGGGAGGAAATAATCCGGAGCACATCCCCCTCGCCCAGAGCAAGCGAGTTGGGGGTGAGACAGGGGTGGGGGCGCCGGCGAGGGTCGGCTGGTGCGCAGCTGCGGCGGCGGAGCCA